GATACCTTAAGAAAATGATCTTTTTTGTTGGAAACTTTAAATGGTGATTTTGCAATCCTGCACTTTTATGGTGTAATCCCTCCCAAACTTGAGAAAAACTTGCTCCCGGTAGTGTCACTTCTCCCTTTCCAAATAATAAAACCTTTCTACTACCACTGTAGTGACACTACTGAAGAAACAGAATAATATACTGCAAGCTTTCACATGATGGTTGTCGTTTTACCATGTCAATGAATCAAGCTAGAAAATAGAACTAGCTTCTCTGTTATCAGCATATTATACTTTCCCTTCCTTGCTCATGGTTCTAAAACATGCTTGTTTGTTATTTGTTCTTTTTCAAGTGTGTTTATTGTGTTCGGTAACTCTGCAAAAATCTGATGCAGGACAAGTAGTTTGGCCCCATTATAGAAATGTTTTTTCAGATGTGTCTAGATCTTCCATTGCATTGTCAGCTTATGGAGTTCTTACAGGGAAAAGGTATTTCAACTTGCCTTTAGCAGATCTTCTACACATTTTAAGGAATTCTTAGGATGTGTTTGGTATGACGAAAGTCGTTTTTTCATAGAAATGTTTTCACGAGGAATTCATTTTCTCGTGTTCAGTTACCAGAAAATGTTTTCCGTGGAAAACCTTTTCCATCAAAAGGGTAAAATGACTTTCCTCACTTATGCGCGGAAGTCATTTGCTTTACGATTATCTTAATTTTTAACTTTATATTACGTGCTCCAACTAACTGTTAGACATTATTATTTATCTTTATGACTCTAAAAACAGTCCTTTAAACACTCTCTAATTTGATAATGTTATTATTAATGTTTAATGTATATGCTTTCAAGAAAATTATTTTTCACTCACCAATCAAACACCGGACCCTGGGTGCGGCACTTCGCTGGACCCTATGTGAATGCGGGGGGCTTTGTGCACTGGACTGCCTTTTTTTTTTAACCAATCAAACACCGGAAAGCATTTTTCCGGAAAATATTTTCCATGGGGAATGACTTCCATCATACCAAACGCTCGTAATCTTGCTAGCTTTTTCACTTCTCCGGTTTACTTTCCCATTATATTGCAGAACTCCATCAGCTCCAAAGATTGGTCTTCCCCCGACGTTGCCATGGGTGTCTATTCCATATAAAGAATACTGGCGCCTTTGCCATGAAGCTGTCCTCGCTTGCAAGCAAGATCGCAACTGCCAATTGCACCGGTAGTTGTTCAAAAGAGAGACGACAACAAAAGAAAAACAAACAAAAAAGAATTCTTTAGCTTGCTATTTCACATACTGCTTTTCCATACGCGAATTCTTCTCATTATTCTCAGTGTTAGGAATTGTTTCATTAAAACTTTGTACACGGGAAAGGTAGGGTGGAAAGGTAAGCTATTTGTGTATAGTTAGAAACGTTTTTGGCCATCTTTTATCCATGATGCAGCAATTTTGTTTGGTTATAGGACTGAATATTGATGAATGGTGTAATGTTCTTTTCCTTCTTTGGAGTACTTACTCAGGTTCATCCTAATATTTGGTACTCTAGTGAACATCTTTTGGAAGTGTTGACAAGGTTCTATCTTTACTGAGGTGCGCAGAGTTAACGAGGTGGACATAGTTGTCGGGTACCTGTTAGTATTCAACGTTGGTGAACATAGTTACCGGGTGTGCGCAAGCGCGGACATCATATAAAAAATACAAGGTTTATCTTTTTTCTTTGGAATATCTTTTGGAAGTTTACCATAGTTGACGTTGTAGATATATCCATCTAGTATTCTATTTGTCCCAAATGAAAGAAGATGGCGTGGTTCCGAGTACAAAAGTTAACACATCTAATTTTAACTTCTTATCTTCTTCCATCTCCAACGAGAAAAAAACTCACTGAACAAACTAGAATCAAGTATTAAAACAACATTAATAAACCCAGTGTAATTTCACAAGTGAGGTTAGGGGAGGGTAGAGTGCACTTAGATCTTACTCCTACCTTGTGATGTAGAGAGGTTGTTTCCAATAGGCCCTCGGCTCAAGAAAAGATAAAAAAAGAAGCAGTAGCAATAGCAACAACAACAATAAATCCAGTATAATCCCAAAAGTAGGGTTGGGGAGGATAGGGTGTACGGACACCTTAGATAGAGATGTTGTTTTCAATAGACCCTCGGCTCAAGGAAAAATGAAAAGAAAGCAATAGCAACAAACAAACGAGATGGCTTTAGACAAATCCGTAGCAAATATTCGATGAAATAGTACTGCCTCTTTGTTTTTGTTATAAGAATGAGATAATGAAAAAAGATACAAGGAATTAAGTGACATTTGTCTATAAGAGACTCCTGTAAAATCAAATCAAAAAACATTTTAATGAGATGAAATGAAACTAGGTTTAACAGCCAATGAGACAGAAATTAGTTTATTTATTGTGTTTTCTCTTTAAGGTGCACCGATTTTACATTATCAGGTCTATAATATAAAGTATTATAATTAATGCCTAGAGAAAGTAGCACAATAATCTTTAATTAATCATGCATGCCTAAAGAAAATCAATAAATGTGGATTTGGGCCGTTTACCCACCAACTCAACACGTGATCAAATGCTAATTATAAGGATTCAGTTGTTAACTGGGACCCACATTGGCACTATTTTTGAAACACATCATCATAACTACTCAAACAATTCCAAGCCGTAGGATGAAAGGTTTCTTCTTTTTAGTCCGTCGATCATTTCTACCTGGCCCACGATTACAAGCCTGTAACATGCGTAGTGGGCCCATTGTTTTTCTCCCTCGACTAGGCGTTGAACACGTGTACACGACTTTATCACTTTACCGGCTAGTTTGTCCCCCCTATTACTCCAGCTCCAAATATCTCGAAAAACGAGTCAAGTTATTTGATCTCGTGTTTGGTGTCGAAAAAATGACACTTTATAACCGCGGTAACAGTAATAGTAGTCGAATATATAAAATTTATATATTTTTTTGTATATATACACATTCTGAATGTTATATACCAAAATTATATAGGTTTTATACATCTTTTCGGCTACCAGATGTAAATAGTTTGTGACGTGCTAAAAGTGATTATACCCCTTTGGTAATCGTTTTAGACGTCGAATAATTCGACTTCGTTACCGTAAAGTAAGAGTAAATATTTTTAATTGTAGACGATTTTATTTACCTAAGGAAACGACAACTTTCTCCATTTTTAGTTTTTGAACCCGAAATTTCTGGTTAAAATTGAAGAATTTCATCCATTTCGCGACATCTCATGATTGTGATGTTTTACTTTGAATATAAATCAATATTTCAATATTTTACTTTGAAATTTGATTAAGCAAACGCATGGCCAATACTCTAGCTAATCCAAAAGCAATGACATAGATCAAAACTATACCTCTACTGTGAAAATTTATTGAATAAGGAAAAAAAAAAGTGATGTTTTTTATAGTACTGTTTTTTAATAGCTTGGGAAATGGACAGTGAACTTTCCTTTGGTTCTTCCTGGAAACTGAGCCAAACAATATTTTTAACTATGATTTCCTATATACTTATCTTTTATCGTAATAATAATCAGACTTTGTAGTCCATTTTTTTTAACTATGATTTCCTTAAATTAATCACTGATAAGGATAATCCTTAATTTAAATAAAGCATCATTTGGCTTTAAAAAATGATACACGCGGCTTACCTGGTTTATTTATTTATTTACTATTGTTTTATCACAGACAAGAACTTTCACCTACGTATCTGGTTTGTCTTCGTCCCTTAATATCAAATCACTGTAAATATTAAATTAAAGATACATCCCCTATCAATGATGCTTTGAATAAAATAATTTACCATTAAGGGTGTGGTGAGATGATATTTCACTTTTAATTAGTGGTATCTCGTTCAAATTATGGGGATGAAGAATTTTTCATCAAGGAACGGTTGACCACCTTAGTTGACCTGCTCGATGGAAATTCAAATTATCAATCGAGTCATTGGATTTTTTGATACCAAATATTAAATAAAAAATAATTAATTAAAAGACGCCATCGATATTTTTTCTCCGGAACTTTCTATAGTTTAGATGTGTAATTCCCAATTTTGTAATTTTGTGTTTGTAGTAATTTCTTTTACATGATAAATAATGTTAAAGTCAGAAGAAGTCTAATGCCCATTGTTGGTAATAACTAAACATTTAATTTTAGAACGTCAATATGTGTTTTTATTTCATCTAAGCAAAACTATCTAGAGAACATATAATAAACTAAAACAAAAAGAGTAAATAGTGAAGCATGTAAAACTATATTTAGATTCTTTCTATGTCTTCTAAAAATAATTGCCTATTATTTACAATTTTATGTAGTCAAGCAATAGTATCCTATTTCGAATTTTTTTTACTCATCTAAAATATTTTTCCCAATTGAATATTTGACAAATAGGTTTCAAGACTATTAGTGCATTCAACAACGTGAAGACCATTACATACGCACTATCAATCAACAAATGTTATTATTGTAATATAGTCATTAGCAGAAGAAAGAAGAATAAGCTTTTTTTAGTTAAAAAATGACAAAGATAATATGGATGACACAATATAACAATACTAAAAGTTTTTTTTTTAGTTTGAAGTTGAGATTACTTAAGTACTTTTTATCTGTTAAAATTTTGATAGACAAAATTATATGATATCTATATTAGCGAGTTATATTTAGTAAAATAATTAAAATAAGCATATATTAACCCCAACTATTAGTGCGCAACCGTAAAACTCTATATACAAATGCAAACCGATTATTTTGGGTTTTGGCAACTCGGAGGGTGGCTATTTTTTTCGTCTTCATGAGTCGAGGATCTATCGAAAACATCAAGGTCTGCATACGCAGTACCTTCCGAAGCCCCTCTTATATAATTTTATTTAAATTAGTTAATTAATTAGAAGTTTATATAATTTTATTTATTCTTGAAGGAGGTCAATCAGTCGGTTGCCTCGGTCTTTACCGAACCTAAGCGGCCTTTCCGAACCTCTAGGCTCGGCATTTCTGCCTATAAATAATAGAACCTTCATCCATTGGAGATAAGACTTCATACGTGTACGAGTCGTTCCTGTAGTTGAAAGATATTTTCTCTCACTTCGAAGGTACTGTAAACATCGCCATTTGTAGCTTCTGATTATATTTTAGTATTAAATTTCTGATTTTTATTATAGATCTCGTCCTTTAGTTCTCTGATCTTTTGAAATATTTGAAGTTTGGATATTTCGAAGAATTTTTTGCTTAAAATGATTGATCTTTTTTGTTGCGATAGCATTTTTCTAGCGATCGTAAAGTATATTTGAAGTTTGACTTCTTGTGGGGAATTATTTTAAAATTTGAATTTGTTGATATTTTTTTTTTTGCTGGAACTGATTCATTTTTTGTTGCAATTAGTTGTTTTGTGTTGATTGATGAACATATTTTTATAGTGATCTCGAAGTAAGTTTGACTTGGAAGCGATTTGTGAATTATTTCGAAAAATGAATTTTTTTCAATGTATATTTTGCTGTAAATGAATGATTTTTGTTGGGATGAGCTGTTTTGTGTTGTTTGATGAACTTTTTTTCTAGCGATCGCGAAGTATACTTGATAAGCATGAAGTTTGATTTGGATATGGGAAGTTCTTATTGAAAAATTATTGATTATATTTTTAATTTTTAAATTTTTTTTGCTGAAATGAATGATTTTTTGGTTGTGGTGAATTCTGATTTTTTTTCAAGTCCACTTTGTGGTTAAAATGATTGATTTTTGGTTGCAATTAGTTGTTTTGCATTGATAGATGAACATTTTTTCTAGGGACAGCGATGTTTATTGATGAGTATGAAGTTTGACTTGGAAGTGATGTGCAGAATTACTTTGAAATTTGAATTTATTAAAAGATTGAGTTTGGTTGCGATTAGTTGTTTTTGTTGATTGATGAACCTTTTTTCAAGCGATTGTGAAGTATATTTGATTAGTATGAAGTTTGACTTGGAAGTGGGAAGTAAAACTGAAAACTGATTTGATTTTTCTCTTCATTTTGTTGCTTTTTTTTCAACAAAAAAAAGATTAAAAAAAAGATGGCTTATTATAGTTTGGATTACACTTCCATAGATTGATTGACCTTGAGTTTGTCAGTGGTTAGATCTGTGGTGATTTGTTGCGGTTATTTTATTTTGTTTCCCTTTTTGGGGGCTCTAATGTACCTATGATGCTATGTATTGTTTAACCACGTTTGAAAACTGTGTTGTTCTGACTCATCCTCCAAAGTAGTGCATTTTTGGAGGATTCAACACGGATGTGGCGACATATTTGGAGAGCCGGAGCAACATAGGCTTAAATGTTTTGAATTGATGCCAAATCTGAAACCTAGTTATAATTGTCATTAAAAATAGAGAATGCTATTTATCTAGTTCTGTGAAATGTTTCTTTAATTACTTTTGCTAAAATACTTAGTTTTCAATATTCTAGTTATTGGTAATTAGGTCAGAAGAAACACATCCTTGTTGTCCTTGGACAATTGAATGTTTGAGTTGAAACTTGCTAGATCATGTGCTCATAGTTGGTGCAGTATGCACTAATATCTTGGGTTTATTCTTTGTTCAGACATCTTCAGGTAACAATTTGGAGAAAGGAGAATGGCGTTAGTTTCAGGAGGAAGGTCGACACTGAATCCGAATGCACCTCTTTTCATCCCATCTTATGTGCGTCAAGTGGAGGACTTTTCACCCGAATGGTGGAATTTGGTGACAACTTCGACATGGTTCCATGATTATTGGACGAGCCAGCATCAAGGAGAGGAATATGGCGATGATGCTTTTGGTTTTGCTGGGAATGATGTTGCTGACTTGCTTCCCGAAAATATCGATCTTGATGTTGATGAAGATATTTTGAACATGGAAGCTCAGTTTGAAGAGTTCCTCCAATCATCTGAAAGTGAACAACAAGGAATCAAGTCATCACTCTATGGTGTCAATGGTATGCTTCTATTTGGTTTACATCTCCATTATCTTACAGTTATAGTTCATGATAGTGGTAGACCCAGAAATTTATACGAGAGGATTCAAAAGTACACTGATAGAATGTCATGATTGGACTTGAACCTGTAACCTAAATTAACTTTTGAACGCGCTTTATCACTTATAATCTTCTTATATAAGGAGATTCAACAATTTATGTCTGACCATGAAAAGTCATTTATCCCCTATTTGCGAGATATAATCTTTTGATGCGATTCAATTGAACCCCCTTACTATCTCCGCCCTCATGTGATGATACTCGTATCATTGGTTCTCAGTAGTATTCTTGTATGATGAATAATCATGTTTTCCCTCTTGACAACAGGTTTACCCAAGGGTTCTGAGGCACTCGTACGAACACTGAGCTTTCCAAAGGGGCCAAAATCTCCTATTGAGCCACCAAAGTACTATGAGAAGCCAGCAAAGATTGTTAGCCCAAAGAACAGCCTTCGCCGCATCCAGCAGCCTCGCTAAATGTAGTTTAGCTTAAGCAAAAGCTCTTGGTTTGTAGTTTGGGCATGTCAGTTCTTAATTTGCAGCTTTTAGTCTTCTTCACAAAGCAGCAGTTGAGAGTCTCAAGAGTCTTTAGTTTCTGGTAACCTTTTGTATAGAGCAAGGTAGGTGGCACCTTCTGTATCTAGCCTTGTTCATAGTTGTAGCATCCTTTGTTCAGTTTTTAACTTGTAAACAGCAAAACTGTTAAAAGGGAAAAAATGTAAAAATCAGTTTACAAAATTGCAAAAAGAGCGTCTTTTGAGTTTTATTTCAGGAAGTGATGACCTCTAAATTGCTGCTGCTTCTTATGCCTTTCCTCTCATTTTTAGCCTTTGGGGCACAATGAGTTCTTAACATATGACATGAAAAATACAAATGGTGGGAAAAGTTTTATTTTGTGTCTCATACAACTGACACTAGTTGTATGAGGCATCTTTTTTGTCTCACAGTTTTGTGTATCCAGATTTTTGTGGATCCAGAACTGTAAGATTGGGGTCAATAAATTTGTGAGTCAAAAAGGAGCCTTACACAACTAATGTAAGTTGTATGAGGCACACAATAAAACTTCTCGGTCTCTGTCAAGTTTGCTATTTGTGCAATACTGTCTTGGCCATGTGTCAATGTCAGTTTGGTCAATCTGTCAACAGATTAATTGAGTGTTGATTGTTGAGCTAACTATACCAAATATGCGAAAGCAAATAAATAAAATTAAGTTTTTTTTTCTTTTCAAATTGATTCACATTATCCTAATGTCTATGTATTACTCATTCTTGTTTCACTTTTACTGATCCACTATGGACTTTGCACACCCCTTAAGAAATAACAAATGAAGTACATAATTTATCATGATACACATATTAATTGATACATATTTTTAATGGATTCGAGAAAGTGATTTGAAATGAGTAATTAGTATAACAGGGAAGAAGAAATTGTCTATCTTGATATGCTAAAAGTGACAAGTAAAAGTAAAAATCTATTTTTAGAATACTTGACAAGCAGAGGCGGATGTAATGCATCGGCACCGGGTTCAATTGAACCCAGTACTTTTGACGCAGAGCATAAATTTATATGTAAAAATTCATTAATATTGTAATATATAGCAATTCGGACCCATAACTTTAAAAAGACAATGGGTTCAATGCTAAAAACTTAAAGGTTGAACTCATACAGAGGCGCCTCAAACACATGTGTGGCCTAAAGCCAAAGTTTAATATGAGACCTAAATTTAAAATTATGATATATATTTTTATTTGAAGTATATTTTTCTATCTTTTCGAGATGCAAAGTTGTTAATAATTTTTTTATAATCAATTTCCTCTAAACATTTTCAATTGATAATATAGCCAACCCATTTAATCTATCTCGAGACATTGTTAATCTCAGGTAAGATTTTATCAATTATAATTTTGAAAAACTTCTTTTCTTTGAGGCAACTATTATGAAAAACTCTACTTTTGTACAAAGTACAAATAATTTTTAAGTACCTATAAACCTATTATTTCTAAAAAAAAGGGGCCCCAAAAATTTGGAAGCCTAATGCAAATGCCTTACTTGAAACAATGTTAGAACCGGCCTGAACCCATAAAACTTAAATCTTAGCTTTGTTGACAAGTAAAAGCGAATGGAGGGAGTATCTTACTTTGATGTAAATATGAAATGTGGTTAAATTTTTACTGTGTAAATATTTTGCCAAGATTATAGACATGATTGTTTCTTTGACAAAGTCTAAAAGATCACCTTAGGGAAAGCTAAATTAGGTAAAGGTATTCCATCATTGATTGAGCACTAACTAGGAAGAATCCAAAAGCCATTTGTATGTTTGGGCCAAGTGGGAAATTCAGGTTTAGGTCTGAATTAATTGTATTAAAGCAAGATATGAAAGTGATACCACATTTGTCTCTATTTTCCATTAACAATAAACATTAGCACGTCGAGCCAACTAGTCCTAGAAGTGGACAAAGTTATGATTTAATTTGCTTTAGTTTATTATATCTACAATAATTTCAACTTACTCTTCATATATGAAAAGAGAGATATGAAAGGATATGCAAGTTGGGACTTTCATCACTATAATATAAAAAAAAATAATTCCGTGCACTAAGCTTTCGATATGTACGGGGTTCGGGAAGGGCCGGACCACAAGGGTCTATTATACACACCCTTACCCTGCATTTCTGCAAGAGGCTATTTCCACGGCTTGAACCCATGACCTCCTGGTCACATGACAGCAACTTTGCTAGTTACGCCAAGGCTCCCCTCCCACTATAGTATAAAGCAAAATGAAAAATTTAATATAAATAGTTGCACGTCTAATCACTTAAACTAAAAGTAGTAAGCTTTATTTGTCAAAAGATTTTTTTTATTTTTTATTTGGGGTCCCGTTAAACACTATTATTTCTTATTCAAAATAAGCATCGTTTAAGATTTTAACATATTCATAAATAATATGATTATTAATTATAAGATTACATGTAAATAAAGGACATATTTAAACAAAATGTTGTACGGATTATGTATTGGAAATGTTATAGATTTGGAAAAAAGAAAAAAAATTCATCTTGAGATTTTGTCCTTAAAAAAATTTAAAGTTAATTAAATAATTTTATCATTTAAACATTATTGATCAATACTTTAATTTGTGTGAAATATTCTTTTGTTAAAGTTAACTTAGTTTAATTTTTCTTTTTATTTTTAGTCAGAGGTTTCGAACGCCTAGAGTGGTGTAGAGCTTATACCAGGTGAAATATCAATTAAAAAAAAGTAATTTAGTTTATTGAAATAATTTTATCATTTAAATGTAATTGATCAATACTTTAATTTGTGAGAAATATTCTTTTGTTAAAGTTAACTTAGTTTAATTTTCCTTTTTATTTTTAATCAAAGGTTTCGAACGCCTGGAGTAGAGGTTACTTTTGGTGGAGAGCTCATACCAGGTGAAATATCAATTAAAAAAAAGTAATTTAGTTTAGTGAAATAAATTTTTTTCATGCTACTCTTTCTCCCCGATTGTCAACAATTTCAGTTAGGGCTGGGGATATATCGGGCATAACCGATAACCGAACCGATAAAATACTATTGGATTATCGGTATCGGGTTATTGGGTAAATAGTTCGATAACGGTTTAATGTTATTTGACTAATGGGTTATCAGTTCGGGTATCGGCTTGCCCAATTTTATTAACGGTTTAACCGATAGCCTAATAAGCTTTATCAAAATTATAATTTTATCCACTAAGTATATAAAACCACCTTATGGCTTAATTGTCTCAATTCTCTCGGTAGTTACTCTTCATCTTCTAACCTTAATCCTTAGAGTAAGTTTTAAACTTTTCTGAATTCCTCATTTTAATTTTTCAATTAGGATTTTAGTTTTAAACTTTAGAGAATTAATTGTTCAAATTTTTAGTTTTTCTATTTGTTTCTTTTGTTGCATTGATACTTTAGTATTTACAAGATAAGGATTTTATTATTTTCCTATGAATTATGCCCGCCCGCAGAGAGATAGTTAGTAAGATTAGATTGTTGAATGTCTTATCCCTTACTCCTATTAACTTATAACTTTGAAAATTGAGATCATTCATTGGGATTTTCAAATGCAAAGAAAATTTTTTTTTCTAAGTTGAAATTTAATGCCTCTTCTCTTAAGAGCAAAAATTCAATTTCTTTCTCTTAATAGTATGGTCACGATTTCTATAATAAATTTTTGGATAGTTTTTATTCTTATCGGGTAAACCGATAACTGAACCGATAAGGATTGATAACCGACTAACCGATACCCGATAACTGATATCTTATCGGTTCGGTTATCGATTTGGTATATTTATAAACCGATAACCGATATGAAGAACCGATAATATTCACAACCGAACCGAACCGACCGATGTCCACCCCTAATTTCAGTGGTGTAATATTAATAGGAATACGAGAAAACTTAAGAAGGGCTAACCGCATTTGATTGAAAAAATGACACCCGATGACAACACATAAGGGGAAGTGGCAATTTTTTAGCCTTATATTAGGTTTTGGCAAAGGTACCCCCAAATAATTGGCATTATATAGCCAATTCTAAAAACTACCCTATTTTATTATTTATTCTCCTAACCGTTTGCTGCCCTCCCTCTATTGTTCGCTGGTCCCCTCCCCTTTCTTGTTCTCTGCCTTCCCCTTCCCTCCCTCCCTCCCTCCCTATTCGAAATGAGATTAAAATGGTGGATTATATTAATGATAACCTCTTTTATGGACCGTTGTCTCCGGCATATTTGTCGACCACAACGGTATATACACATTGACTTCGGGCTCTGGTTACGAACGGTACGATATTGTGATTAATAGTACAGCCACTTCTACTCTTCCACCACTCATTAATGCTCTCGAAATTTATAGAGAGATATAGTTTGCTAGAAAACCAGAATGTATATGAACAGTCCGTCGTCTGTGGTGTGGAGTGAAATAAAGGATTTTTTCATCGAGGAAATCGAAGGCCGAGATGGAGAATAAGAAGGATAATAAATTTGTGATATATATTTTGCTATACACGTTTTATTATGTATTATACAATGTGATATACAAATAATATAATTAGTTTTGTGTTATACACTTGGATATAAAGATAATAATAAATTATAGACAACTATCGAAGGAAAATAAATTTTTGATATACACAAAGAAGAAAAATAAAGTTGTGATATATATATTGGTATACATGTTATACAGTATGATATACAAAAAATAAAATTTATTTGTGTTATACACTTGGATATACACTATGATATACAAACTATAGACAACTATCGAANGACGCTCTTCCGATCTTATACACAAAGAAGAAAAATAAAGTTGTGATATATATATATATATATATATATATTGGTATACATGTTATACAGTATGATATACCAAAAATAAAATTTATTTGTGTTATACACTTGGATATACACTATGATATACAAACTATATTTATAATTTTTAACATTTTTAATGCTTGTGAGAAATAATTTAAAAACCTAGAAAAAAGATTGTAGAGATTTGGAAGAAATCTTGAAAGATTTTTTAATTCTAACGAAAAAGAAATAAAAGGCTATTTTTGGGGTGATGGTTGGGCCATTAGAAGAGAGAATGTCATTAAGTTTTAAATTTAGGCTACGTGGCCATTTTCTGCCATTTGTTGGACTAAATTGTTATGCAATGCCAAATCCTCTTTGATGAATGCGTTTTATAAATCGCATTGAAGGAAATATGATTATAATTCGTGTTTTATGCTTTTTCTGTCAAATTTCACAAGTTCGTGTTTTACGCTTTTTCTGCTAGACTTGCCGGTAGAGCTTTTCTATATAGGCAATTTTCTTGCTTCTTTTCTGACTTAATAACCATTCATTGCATCACCCAGCACCAGTAAGTACTTTGAAAAGTCTTCTCTTCGTTTTCAACAGTTGCTTCTTCCCTATTTTCTGCAATATTTGATAGTCATTCAGATATATATTTTATGTGGGTCTTTAAAAAATCTTTAATTTTCAGACAAATTAGATTAGTGAAGTGGGTTTCAATTGATTCTTGGTATATGACCATGTAAAGTTATTACTTTTATGATTGAATTAGAATTTGTTGTATTGAATGCTGAAATATCTGTGTTTATTTAGTTGAAAAATGCTTCTTTGGTCCAAATTCATTAAAGGGCTTTAAAAGGTTGAGAACTTTAGATGCTGAGCTGTCCCTCCCATTTACCCCAATTGAGAGGATTCATGTAACCGACCCTAACTTGTTTCGAGAAATTCTCTATGGCTAGGGACGCATGGTGTGAAACTCGATGGATAATGGACTCACTCCTCTACTTTTTTTCTACTTAAATACGAGGCCAGACGTTCAAACCCGTCACGTGCGCTTAACCTGCCCCTTTTTATCTGTTTCTGTTTACCTAGAACTTGTCTGGTTGTAAAGATTTGAGGGTAAAGTTCCAACTTGCAAAGTTTTGATAATGGTGGAAGGCTAATGCTAAGTCCTTTGTCAGAATTGCTATATGGAATACTTCCTTTGTCCCAATTAATGTGACTTGCTACTATTTTGAATGAAATTTTCCTTGAATACATGTTACACAATTTTTTTATTTTATTCTGTAATCTTTATTTCTGAAAAGATAAAGGAATCAGTTTACAACCTGAAGAATAGATATTTTGACTATTCCATAATAATGGAATGGAGGCAGTGTTATTTAGCATTTTCCACTCTTATTAATGAACAATGCTCGATTTTGTCTTGTTTTTCTTTTCTTAGTTTATTTCCTATTAAGACTAGTATCCCGGTCTGCACTACGCGTGTTGTCTTTGTGTTAACCTTATTGAAAAATTGCAAATTTACAAACTTTTTAAGTAGTCTCTAGATTTGTGAGTGAATATCGTCTATGCATTTATCACGGCATACAAGGTTTCTAAGAGTAGAATTTTCTAAGTAGAGCCTGATATACATTTTGCTTGTTACTTTATTTTTACCGTTTCTTTAGCCGACTGCCCCTATAGGATAGGAGTAAGGCTGCGTACATACTACCCTCCCCAGACCCCCATGTATGGGATTAAACTGGGTTTGTTGTTGTTGTTGTTGTTAGCTTGATATACATTAGTTATGTGTACAAGTGGAGCCTGATAAGATAAGCTTATATACACCAATGAGTATTTAATACCAAACTAAGAATTGAGTTTATCAGCAGCTGTTGTTTGAAGATCATTTGAACTTCCCGAGGCCCCAAAATACTGCAAGACTGCAAAAATTCAAACTTTGTTGCCATATTTGCGCCCTGCAATTTTTTCCAGAGCTATATGGTTATTGATAGGAAGTTAAGATATGGATACAAACTGTTGTGTAGGCGCTTTATTTCAAATGTTTTAGAACTGCTTCAAGGCAGCTACACATGAGATTACATGTACACAATTGATTCAAAAGGCCTGCTCTTTATTTCATTGTTTAAGAGGATCAGTGACAGGTCACATGGATATACCAAAAGGAGACAAGCTTGTGCTTAGGGGTTTAAAGTTCCATGGATATCATGGGGTGAAGCCAGAAGAGACGAAGCTGGGGCAGAAGTTCCTGGTTGATGTTGATGCTTGGATGGATCTTCGGCCAGCTGGTAAATCTGACTGTTTGTCAGATACTCTAAGTTACACTGATATATACAAGTGAGTGGTTATTGCAATTGTAACTGATAAACTTTGTGAAATGAGCCTTTTCAGTTAAGTATTAGGGCTCTACGCTCACTATGTCGATTGAAATTCATTATGTTGTATCTAAAATGGGAGGTATTCTCTAACAAATAGGAAGATTTAATGATTCAGCAGTTTCCCTGTGGGTAAATTGAAATAAACAAATAAAAACAAATATATGAAAATTTAATGTTTGACAATTTTTATCATTAACAATCTCTCATAGAAGAATGTATTTCATTTAAAGTATTATCCATTGTTGCCCTGAAGCAATTCCTTGTTGCTAAGTAACTGTAGAAAATTCAGTCATACATTGTCTTTGGGAAATTGTTCTTGTTATTATTGTAGGAGATTTTTTGTTTTTTCCTTCAGAGCCATTTAATATGTATATCATGTCACTTGATAGCTTTTTAAAAAGAATCATGTTATATATCCGCACCTTTGTATTGTATTCTGAAGCCACAGCAGGAACCTGTATCTAATCCTGTTGGTTTAGTTCAAACAAGGACTTCTCCCCTGTTTGTTCTTTATCGTCAAAGCTCTATTTGTCCAGGCTAGATGAAATATTGTTGTGTAGAGTGGTTAATCAAAATGAATAGGAAATTTTTTTTCTCCTTGAAGCAATCTTTTGTCAGTTTGGAATTATGTTGATCTACTACTGGGAAGGAAATACGACGAGTGCGACAATTAGTGAGGATTTACTGTATCTTTGTTGGAATTCTACTTGATGTATCCTCTAGTGCATTGTAGATGAAGTAGTTGTGCTTTATTTCAATTTTGTTCCTTATAATATGTAAGAAGAAAGTAACATTATTTACTCTGTTGACCACTAGGAGAAAGGTTGAATCTGTAGAACTATTTTTGAATCTCTATCATACTATGCAAACTTGATAAAGTTCATGCTTTACTTGGCATAAGCTGTAGAACTATTTTTTGGTGGTGGGCCTTTTCCTAGGTGTCATGTATTTTCTTGGGAGAAGATGGTGAAGATAAAAAGAAAGTAACATTTTCCCGTTATTTCCTTACTTCACACCTTGCTCTAGTGCAACTTTCTTCCGTTAGATGATAATTTGAGAGGCGCATTGTCCAGATTGAGGAAAGAGGGTTAAGTATCCTATGGTCTCATGTTGTTAACATCACCATAGATTTAATGTACTATCTGGTAATCTTTTACTGGTTCATAATGGTTCATTATAGAGTCAGGGACCGAGAGAAGTTGGACACTATTGCTTTACCATTCTTGACAAGCTTGATTACCTTTTGACGCTCTTGTATGTCCTGTAGTGTAGGACTTGCTATCAAGCTTCAAATAATATGTGCAGGAACCCATTTGAAAATGAACTTATTTAGAAGGAACCAAAATGCCAAGAATTTCCCCTGTTCTAGTTATCTAGCTTTGTTAGCCAAGGCGAAAACCACCTTCCCCTTGGCTATGTAACGTATGCTGCTAATGGAAATGATGTTGACTTGATTAGCACTCTAGGTTTGGTTAGCTAAGACAGCTACTTTTAGAATAAGATATGTAGACTTGAGAAAAGACCACCAAACTTAACTGACACCAGAACTGAGATTGAACATTTGATGATTTTGTCACTGAATTGAAATGGCTTTCCTATTGGTCTTCACGTATAGATTGCCTGCTGGTCCTATTTAGTCATGCTGCAATAATTTGGCCTGGCGTTTGCTTGTACGACAGCTACTTTTCATACCTTAAGCAATTCTCAGAAATTACAATTTTTTGCTGAGCAATTTTTTCTGTTTATCATTATGGTTATTTTTGTTTGACATTGCCTTGATATCATTTTCATCTGAGAATTGGCAGAATAGTGAAAGAGATTGTGGAGGGTCCACCTAGAGAACTTCTAGAGAAGGTGGCTGAGCTTATAGCATCTACAACGCTCGACAAGTATCCACAGGTATCTGCTGTTCGTGTTCAAGTTGGGAAGCCGCATGTGGCTGTTCAAGGATCTGTTGACTACTTAGGCGTCGAGATCATCAGACACAGAGGTCTTGATGGTTAAAACCACGTCTTATTGCTTGTATTAATTTTTGTAATTCTAATCCTGTTGTTCAATAACCGTTTTGATTGAAGCTAGTTCCTTTTTCATGTTTAGTGTTTAAAATCTTTTCCATCTGCATTTGCTCTTGTTAAAAAAACTATCTGGATTCCTGCTTCAATAGAGGCCTGCAACTTTACCACAAAAGCTTTGTTGAGTACTTGAATTTGGTTCTCTTATATATGGTTACTTCATCACAGGAGCTCTCAAGAGTGGTTGTTTTCCAACTGTTAGGTGATTTCTTCTCATCTGCATCAGTCTTGGTTGGTAGTACATTCAATAGCATCAATGCCAGAGCTAAAGGCAAAACACAAGCAACTCAGATTTTTGAACTCGTAGGGACCTCCCCTTCTCTAGAATACAAAATGATATCCATATATTTAAATTCTAGATTACCTTTGTGTTAGGGTCGAGCCTTTTTTATTGAGATAACAGGTTGTGTAGCCTTGTTATGGTCTTCACGTCTTGTACATATCTTCTTGGTGATTAATACAAAAAGTTTAGTTACCAATTAAAAAAATAAAAATAAAGTCAGTCATATGCAAATTCTATCATATTCAGATTAATAGTGCATCACCATCTCTATAACTATAGTTTAACATGAAATAGCAGTTAAGCATAAAGATAGTCAATCACAAAGGCAATAACTTTCAAGAATTAGAATAATCAAGAGCAATTTTTTTATTTTTTATTTTTTATTTTTTTGGTATCAAGAGGAAATATTCATATATATTAAGTCATTATAGGGACATTGGATGTCCCATTACAACTGCTTTGAGTAGATAGTACACATAGGTTACGAAAACTAGCAAACTTAGTAGACATAGATATGAGAATTTTTCTTCTAGACGCCTTTGTCGTCTGATTGTAGGGTTGCAAATACAGACGCAGGCGGATAGTTTAAGATATATATATTATCACTTGATTGCTTCTTAGATCCTTCATTTGCCAATATATGCGCTACTTTGTTTCCCTCCCTGAAGCTATGCCGGATGACTGGATTCCCCAACCTCCTCAAGTGAGACCTGCAAGAATTTAGTAAATTGTTAAAAATAGGGATTTTTTTCATTTAATAGTTCAATTACCTCAATAGAATCTGTCTCAATTTCCACCGGAGTTAGTTGATGGTCTATTACTAGATGTAACCCATGCTCTAAGGCACTCAATTCGGCATGAGTGTGGTTGAGTGCACAAATCCTTTTGGAGAATCCTATGACCCATTCCCCTTTTGCATTTCTTGTAACCCCTCCAATATCACCAGTCTTGTCTCTAGCGTAGAAGGAGCCATCCGTGTTAAGCTTAAAGGATCCCGGAGGTGAAGGGAATCACCTGACATGGATGCTTTTTGTAGGGCTGGGAGATGAGGAGTTCCCTGTACAGAACATGCACTCCATAGCCCGCATGCACACAGTTTTGATATCCACCAACGCGTTAGTTTCATTAAAGACATTATGGTTCCTGTTTGTCCAAATGTGCCATAGGGCAAAGCGAAAGAAAAAGTCCCAGGATAGAGGCTAGTTTAGGATAGGAATATGCATGTCTTTTATTAAGTGAAGCCAGTGAGTATGGTGGTAGGGGAGGGCAGTGATATTTAGTCCAAGGTCCAGCCAGAATTTTCGTGCAGTAAGGCACTCAAGAAAAACATGATGGATGGATTCTGATGGATGCTTGCAGATGGTACAATTTGGGGTAACATTGATACCTATATGATGTAGATAGGTATTTGTTGGCAGCTTATTATGGGAACATAGCCATAGAAAGAATTGGATTTTTGGCAAAGTATTTAGAGTCCATATCCAATTAAACCCATACTTATGGTCAGGCGATGGATGGATTAGGTTATTTACTGATTTTGCGGAAAATATGCCATTTGTATTTAACGACCAATAGGGGGTATCAATCTTACCCTGGCTCAAGGAGATTGTCTTAGTTTGATTGAGAACTTCTTGAGGAATTTCCATGGAGATTCCTGACCAATCCCATTTGAGGCCGTCCCAAATGTTGTGTAAACTAAGTCTTTGGTCTTTTTGGGATAAGGGACCTTGAATAATTGATCGGAGAGGTGGTGAATGAGGAATCCATCTGGAGTTCCATAAGTCGATGTTAGTTCCTGACCCTGGATCCCATGCTATAGCTTTAGAGCATATAGTACCCCCCTAAACAAAATTTTTCCAAATAAAAGAGTGGGAGGAGGAGGTGCTTTTTGGACAGTGTTTTTTAATAAGGGTTTGTGCCCAAAGGGAGGTGGGTTGAGAGAAGAGTCTCCAAGCCAGACTTGTTAGTGAAGTCATGTTCTTATCATGGGCATTTTGAATGCCTAAACCCCCTTGGTCCTTTGGAAGGGTGACAGTGTCCCAGTTTATGTAGTGAATCTTCTTCTTTTGAGGGGTAGTGCCTCAAAGAAAGTTTCTCTGGATCTTGTCAATATTGTGACAAGTTTTTTTAGGAAGAAGAAAATATTGCATGGCATATGCTGGGATGGTGTTGAGAGTGAGTCGCCCTGCTGGGGTTAGGAAATTTAGTTTCCAGTTGGCAAGCTTGTTTTTCATACTATCAATAATGTATTGGAAGTCATGGGGTTTAGGTTTGTTATTCAGGATAGGAAAACCAAGATATTTCCCAAAAGTATTGGTAGCTTTTATTTCTAGAAGATTTTGAATTAATTCACGGGGAGTATCTTGCCATCCTTTTGAGAAAATAACCCTAGATTTGGTAGAGTTTATTTTTTGCCCTGATAGGGTGCAAAAAAGACTTGGGCTTTTGTGGATTGATGAATAGATTTTTGGTTAGCTCTAGCCATAAGGGTAAGATCATCTGCGAAAAATAGATGTGAGAGTTGAGGTCCATTTTTGCTAAGGGTGATGGGGTCCCATAGCTGGAGGTCAACTTGGTGGTTAATGTAGGTAGATAGAAGTTCCATGCACAGAATAAAAATGTACGGAGACATGGGATCGCCTTGACGTATACCCCGGAAGGGAGAAAAATAGTTGGTTTTGGTACCATTGACCAGGATGGCAATGTTGCTTGTAGTAATGCAATTTAAAATGAGTTCGGAGATCTTTGGAGGGAATTTAAAAAATTGAAGAGTACGGTAGACAAAAGACCATTCAATACGGTCAAAAGCTTTTTCAAGGTCTATTTAATAATAAACTTTCCCTCAGTCCCTCTTGTTTTATTAATATGGTTCATGACTTCCTGGACGAGGATGGCGTTATCACAAGCCCTACGTCCTTTAAGGAAGCTAGTTTGGCATGGGCCAATAAGGTCAGGCAAATATAACTTAATGCGGTTGGCAATGATTTTTGTAATTATTTTATAGACGGTATTGCAAAGGCCAATTGGTCGGAAATTTTTGAGATCGTTTGCATTGTGGAATTTAGGAATAAGACAAAGATATGTATTGTTTATAGAGGTAGGCAATTCCTGGGTATTAAAGACATGTCTACAAAGGTTTATTATAGAATTGCCGACTATATTCCAGTATTTCTGAAAAAAAAAGGGTGCAGACCATCGGGGCCCGGAGCTTTAAACGGTTTAAAGGAGAATAGGGCTTGGGTGACCTCATTGTCTATTAAGGGTTTATCCAATGGGGAGAGGTCGATATTATGGGAACTTGTGGGAGTTGATTTAATGTTACTCCAGTCAGTACTTGAGTGACTAGTAGTGTAGATGTTTTTGAAATAATTACTAGTATGACTAACAAGGCTGTCATGGTCAGTAATCCAATTACCATGGTCATCCTTAAAGAAAGATACTTTATTCCTTCTTCTACGATTGACAACGGACAAGTGGTAGAACCTAGTGTTGGCATCACCATGGTTCAGCCAATTTATTCTAGACCTAATTTCCCGGAAATCCTCTTCCAATCTAATAATGTTATTATAATCAGTGGTAAGTGTTTCTCAAGGGATTGGAGAAAAGTACTGGTGGCATAAGCCTGTGAGTGTTGAATACCATTTAATCTAGCCAAAATTTTGTTTTTCCTAAAGAAGATGTTTTCAAAGGTTTCTCTATTCCAGGAGTTAACGTTATGAGTAAATAATTCGGTTGCCTCAGTGAATTCCTTATGTTGCCAACTCTTTTTAACTAAGTTTTCAAATTCAGGGTGAGAGCACCAATAACTTTCTAGGCGGAAAGGCTTTGTAACGGTATTAGGAGGTTGTCTAAAGACATTATTTGCATTAAAAAGGAGGGGATTATGGTCCGAATAGGTTTTTGCTAAATGAGTGATGGAAACATTAGGATAGTTGACAAACCATTCTTCATTGGCAAAACAACGGTCCAATCTTTCAAGAATTAAACCGTTACTTTTCCTACGATGATTAGACCATGTATAACGACTACCTTTAAAACCTAAATCGATTAACTTGCAAAAATTAACACAAGACCAAAATCTAGAGGAACGAGATCTATTGATCTCTGCCTCCAAACTTTTCTACTTGACTTACGATATCATTAAAATCCCCCGCGACCATCCAAGGGCCCCTATAGCTAGTCGATATATTTTCCAGATTTTCCCAAAGTTTCCTACGATTTACAGCTTTAGTACTAGCATATATGGTACTAAGTAGCCAAGGAGGGTGATTTGGGTATACCTGAATCATGGCATGGAGTTCTTGAGTAGACTGTCTAAGTCGAGTAACAGTGACCATGCTGGTGACCCACATGAGAACAATTCCTCCTGCTCTTCCTTGAGCAGGGACCTCCATCATGTCGTCAAAGTGGAAATTGTCTCTAAGGGTTGCATGATCTTCCATCTTTGTTTCCAACAGGGCGACCATGCATGGGGTGTGGGTATAGATGAGGTCCCTAAAATTCCTCCTGAAAGTCTCATTATTTGCCCCCCTTGTGTTCCAAACAATAAAGCTAGTAGGTTTATTCACGGGGATCATTTGATTGTGGGGGTGCATTGAGACTTGGTTCTCCGTCAAAGAGAACTGGTTTCCCCTCAGAGTTGGGGTTAGTAATACCGCATTTTTTGTGGCATCTCTGTTCACTGGTGGTCGCAGATCGAACGAGCACTTCATGAGTGCCACTAGCAGTGTAGATGAATTTTTTGTCCTCTCTCTCCGGGAACAGCATAAGGGCTGCTTCTCTGAGATTTGAGATTTCGGTGAACGAGCTTGAGGGCAGTGGGAGGTCCATGATCTCTTCCTCCATCTCTATTTCTTCTTGTTCTTGGGGTGGTGGGATGTCC